TTTTCAAATTCAGGTTGAACTGACACTAGTAAGTTTAGGTGTAAGGATTTATCTCTCTCTAAAGGTGATAATCATTGAGGCTTAGAAGTAGCAGAGGAATAGCCTATAAGGAAACAAAAATTCCTCCTGGGGGGAAACAAAAATTCCTCCTGGGGGGAGATCTTTGAAGGAGCTAGGTCTTGGAAGAGACTGGAGGGGCTGTAACAAGGGAGTTAGGTAAAGCAAAAGAAGGTTATGCAGTTATATTTAACCACGGAGTTCAGACTTGATTACCCACTTTTATCCATAAAGGTTAACATTTCTAAACCATGGGAAATGGGAATGATTAGTGTCTTGAGAAAATCAAGAAGACTCATTACTGGGATGATTTTGTTAGGAAATTAATAATAGATAGCCATAGGCATTTAACCAGCAGATGCAATGGCCCAGGCAAAATAACACTGAATTTAAATGGGTCAAGTCATATTCTCTAGAAATAGCGTTCCCTGCCAAAAAGAAAGAGAATGACAGCGACAAAAAAGCAATGGTAGAGATAATCTGAGTTGAGAGATTAAACTTTAGATTACTTAGGAAAGAGTTCTTGGGAAAGGCTACTAGTGATAGTGGGGCAGTATTTCCCTGCCCCATTTATACTGCATGCCAGTAACTGAATCCCTGACCACAAACCTCAGCATCAGAGAATAGGAGAAAACAGGATAAAAGGCTGTTGAATTGCAACTATTCTGACACAAAAACAGAAAAGAGCACAGATTTATATTGTAAATAATAGTTTTGGTCAAACCAACTGTTAATAGTATTGGAATCTCCATACTGGTTTGAAGTGGTTGAAAGTGTAGGTCAATGCCAGAGGGTGGTCAGAGAATCAGTCAATTTCAGTAAGAAAGAATCAAGGGCAAGGTAACTGGGATAGAAAGGGAAATGTTTGGAGATCCAAAACTATTAGTAGTCTAAAATCTGGTAAGAGGTTATAAAAAACAAAACATGGAAAGTATGGCTGTTACTAGTGTTGATGACTTAATATTTGATATCATGGAAGTAAATTAGTGCTACTTTGAAATTGTCAAAATGATCATATCATTAAACGAGAACATGTTAGTTATTCTATTGAGAGATTATTGAGAACATTAGTAAACTTTGTTTTGCTTTCTAGGTTTTTAAAGATTAATCAGGATTAGTTATCGGCACAAAAGAAAAATTCCTTCGCTTATTTAGGTATAACTTCCTAATCATGTCCATAAGCCTCTTATTATGGTAATTGTATGGTAAAATATAAACTATTTTTATCTAAATTCATGTATTTTAAAAAGGTGATGTAAATAAATCTAATCTTAATGTAGGCTTCTCAAAGTTCAAAATGTTTGCCTTTAATATTTTTCAAAAAGTGCTCTTACTTATAAAATATATTCACTGATTATATTCAGTTTGAAATTATGTTTTTAAATCATGTTTAGCACAGTGATAATATATTTAACTTCTGTAAGGTCATAGTCGCATTATTTTGGACTTTAAACTATGTGTATGGAGAAAAAAAATCCTGAGTTATTCAAATTCTTTCTAGAGAACAGGAGCATGCAAACTCCAAAACTGTCAAATCTTATATACCAAGAACACCTCCTATTTAAATTAAGGTGTTTGAAGTGAAGGAGGAAATTCCATTTTATCTTGCAAACCTAAGGCCCCCAGATGAATACTGTGCAAACAATATGCATTCATTTTTTATGATGACAAGGAAATAATCAGCGACTTAGTGTTGCTTTCAAATTTCTGTTTGGAGAGTAAATATTTTCTTCCAAAGATGGCTTTCAGTTACACACTTTTAAGAAGAGATATTAGGGGGATATCTTAGCCAAGTGTGGGTGAATTGCTTAACCCATGAATTGATTACCGACTATTAAGCAGCTTTTATTTCGAATGCATATGATCACTTTAACCACAAGCTCCATTTTCTGTGTCTCCTATCAGCAGTTGCAGCCTCCAGCGATCAAAGCCAGATTCCTATAATTGCTGTGTCTGTGACGGTGGGAGTCATTTTGCTGGCAGTGGTTATCGGCTTCCTCCTCAGTGGAAGGTAAGACAGGAAGCTGTGATTCTGAACTCTTGCAGCTGATCTCTTCCCTACCTTGATCTGACCATTTGGCGGTTAAGCACATCCCAAAACAAATCAGGCAAGCAATATGTCAGTGGATAACCTCAATACATGATGTATTTCTTAAACCTTACCTTGTTTGTGTTCCTGCCAATTTTTAAACACAAAACTCTTTTTATATATGCCTTCTTCCTAAGAGTACTATAACATGTTATTGTTTATTCTGTTATTAATATAACATACCTCTTCTTCTGATATAGTTTCTTTTAATGTGGATTTTTTTCCCTCTCAAAAGTATATATGGTTGTCTGCTTTAAGTTTAATTGCTGCTTGGGAAGGGCTATGTCTGTGCCTAGTAATTTTTGAGGGATAGGACTGATAATTCTAGTTAGCCAGCTTTCTATATTAACAGGGTGATGGGTACAAAGCAGGCATTCTGGCAAACAAGCTTCTTTGGAAATAACAAAAACCTTTTCAATGACAGCTTTTATTTTCAGCTTCTAAAGGATTTCAACCTGAATGCTTCAATCATGGTGTATACTGTTGTAAAGCGAATTTTATTGAATGTTATATTAAGACATACATGAATATATGCATTGCATATCTACATTTTTTTTCATTTTAAACAAAAATAAAAGAGGTAGAGCCCCACAAAGAGCTTCTGTAGAAGGTATTTTCAGACATTAAACTGAGCATAATCAACATTCCTAAAAATAAAAGAAATGAAACATGAGCAAGCCCTATTCCTACGACAAACATATTTTCCTATTTTCCTATTATTTTTGTCTAGACCATTGTTGGAAGGAATATTTAGAAATGAGACCTGTCTCTTTGAAAATTTATTTTGGTGTTAGACCATTATAGAAAACTTTAAAGTGTTCATGCAAATATTTAAACCTGACAAAATGTGAGAGTGTACTGTAAAGTTCCAAAAGCAAAAAAAGCCACAAAAATCAATATTTATATTGATTTTGTTATTGTTCTACTCATTTACTGTTGACTTTTCAGTACCTATTCAACTCATAAATATACAGAATTAGGCACTTTTCAATATAATGCACATTGTGTTCTGAGAAGATTGATGACTATATCCTTAATTTACACCAGTAACAGTTTATTTTCATAGAATATTGCTAATTCCTTCGAACATCTTTCTCTTTGTATTTGAAAATTCCATTTCTTCTAGTTCTTATTCATTTAAAAGTGGTTAAAATTTTCTTCAGAATACACGTAGTATTTTATTGCT